AGATTCTGCTCTCAGACACCCCACTGTCTGTCTCAGGCCCCACAGAGTCCTTGGTGACGCTGACAAACCTACAGTCACTCTGCTCTGGGGAGCCACCAGCCACCCGGCAGGCACATGAAAGGAGGCTGAGTCATGTCAATAGCAGCTAAGCCGGAGGGAGTCCCAGAAAATCAGCAAGCTCTCCCAATTAGGGGGCGTTTAAAAAGCAGTGCCATTTATTTGTGTCATACAGTAATTTCCTCATCTTAATAGTTACCTCAGTTAATGACTAGCAACATATGGTCAAAAAGGTCAGCCAAGCACATCTGATGGACCAGAGAGAACCGTTACTAATGAACTTACTGATATCTGGATGCAGATAGATGCACAGAGACAGCACGGAGGCAAGAGGAGTCAAAACTCATTTGCTCTCCCAGGCAGGGGGATGTGAGCCCGCAAGCCTGTTTCCCACTATCTTTGACTGACAGTGAAAGAGTAAACTTCAGTCCAGCCCTGCAGGACATGAATGCTGAGTTAGCTTGGCCCAAATTAAATAGCCTTCACTGAATTGTGACATAGAAATATTCTAGAATTTGAAACTCTTTAGCCCAAAGTCAAGAGGAAAATCTCTATTGTTTCAGCTCAGGGTTCCCCATGTAGGCAGGCCACTGGAGGCTGATTGGGCTCAAAGATTTGTGGGAATTCACTGAAGGAGTGGGACCAGTAGCCGACCAGCCCAGAGTGATTTTTTTTAATTAAGAAGCACCAAAATGAACTTGAGCTTGGCAAGAACTCAACAGAGAAACCAGGCTGGCTCTGAGCCCAATTTACATGGATGGGCTGGACTTGGGCTTGGGCCTGGCTCCTTCCTGGACTCTGGGGTCAACAAAGGCCCATTTGCAGACCTGCTTATCTTAGGTCGGGGGAGAGGGTGTCCCTCCTGGAGACCCCAGTGGTTCTCTGTCCTCCTGGATGCTCAGCTCCCCCTCTACCCTGGGAGATCCCCCAGTGTCTTTTCAAGGAGCCTCTCCCTTTTTGCTCGAGTTAGCCACAGTCACCGTCTATTGTGTGTTTCCCAGAAAACTGGATCTGTTCACTAACTCTCGTCTGTGCTGAAGATGGACTCTGGCATCACCTTAACCTGCCTGAGACCTGCTCTTATGCCCTGAGGGATGATGGTGGAATTTCAGAAATTACAACAAGCATATGTGATGTGGGGGTGCCTGGAAGCCCCAGCAGCGATGCTAATATAGGGGACTCTCACACAAGCACGCTGACGTCAGGAAACTTCAGGCAACTTAACACAGAAAAGAGCAAAGCAACCCATTTTCTCCAGCTTCTTGGAAACCCAAAGGGTGACGAAAAGGGAGAAGGGTCACGAGGAGAGTAGGCAAAGGGCAGGGAAGGGACATTCATTCAATAAGTTCCTGGGTGACTAAGGGGAGCCTCAGGGCCTCCTTTCCAGATGAGAAGTTTTTAGGAATCATGGAATCACAACCCAGGCCTGCAGGGGGCCTAAGAGCTACAGTTCCCTCACTGTTCAAGGCGGGGCAGTGGCGGGGGGCAGGTAGCCATGGCCACCATCCCACACCAGGGCCACAGCAGAGGCAGCTGGGAAGGCTGCTCTGTCCTGGAGGAGGAGTCTCCCATCTGGACAGTGCTCTGGTCAGCATGTCACAGTGTGTTGAACTGACTTGGGAAACCTTGGGGTCATAATGTTTCAGAGCCAGCACAAGGCCAGATGTTTGACACCCATGCTCTGAGGTGGCTGATCTATGACTCAGAGGAGGTGGGGACCTCACTTTCCAAATGCTCTCATGCCTTTCACACGATCTGAGTGCCCCCACTGCTATGAGCAGGGCAGGGTCTATTGTCCTCATTTTACAAACAAGGGACCAGGTTGGGGAGGGCTAGGAGGCATGCTCCAAACTGCCCATCTAGCACCCTGAAGAGCTCAAACAGACCCTCTGGTCCATCCCATTATTCTCTTCTTTCTCCCATGGTATTCAGAAAGACAGGTGTTCCCAGACCTGCCGCTCCAGATGGCTCCCATTTCCTTCCAAGGGCAGCACTCTGGTTCTTCTCACAGCGACAGAATAGAAGGTTTAGGACTCAGGCCTCAGTCCTGTACCTGGTTTACCTGCTCTTCACCACACACAAGGTGCCTCCCCACAGGGCCGTCGTCAGTCCCTGCTCAACAACGGGCGGAAGTTTTTGCTCCAAGAAATGTCCAGGGCTCACGGGCAGAGGAGGAGGCACTTTGCCTGCTGCCCACCTCTAAACCTGGTCAGGGCCCCTCCTCCCAGGCCCATCCCTTTGGCAGCAAACACAATGCCTGCTGAATGTCTCTGTTACCTTTTCTGGGGCTTGGGTTGTGGACTGAAGGGGCCACCCAATGAAAATATCTTTTCATCTTAGGAGGGGTGCAAAGGGACAAGTCTGCCACTTATCTTTCAGAGGAAGCACACATATCAAAAACTGCAAGTGGGCACAGGGTTGTTGTTTTTTAACCAGGATTTGCAGCATTTTTTCTGCCTCCCTTACTGCAGAGGCTGGGCCCAACTTTCATAAAAAAGGGTATGCAGCCCTGGGCAGATCTTACGTCGGAAAGCTCGATGCACAGCAGTGCCATCGGCTTCAAGCCCCCCTTTGGGGAATGAGCCCAAGGACCTATCAAAACAAGAAGCAGTCTGAGTGACAAATGGAAAGCATAGCAGATGCCAAAGGAATGCAGCATTGTCGATTCCTAGAGGCGTCTGCCTGGATATTAGATGCAAATAACTGCTAATAAGTAGTTAGAGAAGCTAATGGACTAACTGTCCTTCCCAGGAGGATCACTGCATGCAGATGCGAGGGGAAACTGAGATGGCCTGACCAGCCACACTTGCTGCTGGTGTGGTCTGGGCGAAGTCTGTGCAGACTTGTCCTGTAGAAGCAGAGCCTGCATAGACTCGTCCTGTGGATGTGCTTCTGGTGTGGAGCCTCCTCCTGGCTGTAGGGTTGGCTCCAGGGAAAGAGACCCCTTCTCATTCTCTCCCCTCTCACTGCCTAGTGAGAGTGTGTGCATGCGTGTGCATTGGCCCAAGGGAGTGTGCATGGTACTGAAGAGCTCCCCGGCTTGGTTAACCAGGGGCCATGACCCCAGGTGGTGAGAAGGCTGCAGGTGTGGGGACAAGAGGACACAGAGGCAGGTACAGGGCCAGTGCACTTGGCACACAGCTTTCTGCTCACTTTACTGCCACCCCACCTTTGCTCACCATTTTCTTTCCTCCCACTCTGCTTTGACAGCTTCTGGATGTGAGTTGGATAAGGACCACTGTCCTGTTCCTCCTGACACACTTGAGTCCTTCTACCTTACATTCCCTACAATCTGCACCTGAGTAGCGTGATTCCAGCCATATGCATGGCCCACCCCCACAGCCAGTGGAGCAGGCTGGGCCAGTGCCCTGAGGCAGCCACAGTCTCTGAGCTCAGGGTCTGTGAGGGGGAACCCCAGCACTGCACTTACCTCACTTTGGAATCAGCAGCCCCTGGTCCTGGCTCTGCATTTTCATACCTGGATTTCCTCATCTGTAAACCAGTACTGGTAATGCCTATGTCCTTGTTGCAGGAATTAAGGAAGATCCATAGATAATGCTGGCAAGCTTCAGTTTGCCATCTCATTGTTCCTGTTCTGTCTCTGAGCACCTTGAGCTCACCTCAACATGCATATGGCCTCAGGGCTGCCTGGGGCAGAGTCTGGGTGCCACCCAGGCCTACCAGAGCCCTGGTTCTGGGAGTGCCCAGCTCTTCCTCAGGAGAGGCTCTGCTCTCCTCCAGGGCTGCCCCAGCCATACCTTCTCTGGCTCTTCAAGGGCCACGAGTTCCCCCGAGTCCCTGCTTCATCCTGCACTCTGTCAGCTGATGGACTCACAAGGCCAATCAAGCAGCAGATAAAATGGGAGGAGGGTAAGCACCCCTTCACCTTATTTACTAAAGGTTCCTCTGAAGATTTTTTTAAAAAAATACTGGATGTCCCTTCATAACTAAAAGGTGACTGATCTACATAGCTTTACCTAGTTCCTGTGAGAAGCCTGCCCAGCCTCCTTCCTGGCACTTGCTTGCCCCCTGCACGGGGTTGGGGTGCGGGGGAGCTACCTCTTCTCAAGAAGACCATGAACTGGAATCAGAGCCCCATGCCCCTTCACATCCCTGTTCTGTGCTGGTACTGTATGGCTGTGGATCTGGCGCGTCCCCTTCCCAACTCAAAGAGATAGCCTGCAAGGGCGAGCCTGGGTCATGGGGCACTTTTTTGGTTGAATCTATAGCCCCAGGAATCGGTCATTGCCATGGACAGCGGGCTGAAGCAGCGCAAGACCTTGGCTGAATTTCAATAAGGCTGGATTTCTTAGAATCGTCCTCGGAATCAATCCTCTGTGTTTCGCCAGCCCCGCGCTCCCAAAGTGTGGGGTCCTGGGCCCGCAACACTGCCCAGCTGTGGGCATGGCTCACTCTGGCGACGCCTTGTTGTTTCCCCGAATCGGCGCGGGCGTGCGACCCACGGAGGCAGTGGCAGCGCTCTGACCGCCGTCTGGAGATAAGTGACGGCCGGGAGGCCAGATCTCAGGGAAGCCGGCAGCTGCGCGAGGCCCACGGCACGACTTCCCCCCACCCCTGCCCGGCCGCGCCCAGCGGCGGCTCCTTCCCAGCGCCCAGCCCGTGGGGCCGCGGGAGCCGCAGAGTGCGCGTGGGCGCGGCGCCGGTGAGCTCCCGGAAGCGGCCAGCAGATCCTAGGAGTGACTCCCTCGGTGCCCGGCCACCGTGGTAACCCGCACCACCGCGGGGCGGGGCCCAGACCGGGGGCGGGGCGCCGGGCGGGTGCGGCGCTATTTCCAGCCTTGCGGAAGGCTTCGCTGGCACTTCGCTGGGAGCCTTCCCGGCACTCGAGCCGGCTCCCGCAGCGCTGTGCGATAGAGAGAGGAGAAGGAGGCGGCGGGAGGTGGGAGGCAGGAGGCTGGAGACGGACCGGGACCCGGGCCGGAGGAGGAACACGCCGCCGCGCCCTCACCCTCTCCTATGCGCTCCGGCCGCCGGCCCCACGCTGCTCGCGTCACCCACCGCTGGGAGCCGGAGCAGGCACCCGGCCCTAACGTAGCTGGGGCGGAGGTCCTCCTCGCTTCCCAGGAACCCCAGAGCCAAGCATTCGCCGCGGAGGACCACTCCGGGGCAGGAGGCGCCCACGGCCCCGTGAGCGAGCGCCGGCTGCGCCAGGTAAGTGCGCTGCTCTCCCGCACCACCCCTGGCCCCGCCCTGTGCAGGTTCACAGCCGCGGGAGCGCGGTGAAGGGTCCTGAGAGGGCCCAGGACTGCACTGCGCCCTATCCCTGTGAACCAACGCGGATACGAGTGCGAAACGGTGGGCGGAGATAGGTGCGCAGGGTTCTGGTCTGGCAGCACTTTGGGGACCGGTTCCAGTAGTGGGAACCCGCTCTTGTAGTGGGAACTTTAATTAGACTTTTGCTTCTTGGATTTCACTTGCCGCGTGTCCATGAACTGCCGCCCCTCCGGCTCCCTGGATCCCTGCGGATCCTATGCTCCTCTTCCCAGCTCCGGGTGCTCGGCGCGGGGAGGCAGCATCGGACTTGGAGAGGGCCGGACTTAGGGCGCCCAGGGCTTTCCCGCGCGCTCGGGACTGGGACTCGGGGGCGAGTTTTGGTGGACAGGGACCAAGGAGGAGTTAGAGACTGCCTCGGCTTCCTACCAGGCGGTGGAAGGTGCCACGGCGCTCCATCGCGCGCGTCCCCACCCATAGCCTCTCCAGGGCACCGGCCTGTTTTGTACTCGAGGCGAGCGTGTGTGCATCCGTGATTGGTGAAGGTGTGTGCGTGCGTGTGTGCAGGAGTGCGGGAGTCGGAGTCTCGGGCGGCTCGGGTGGGCGGTGAAAAAACCCGCTTTGCCGCGGGACCCAGCCAAGCTGTGGCGGCGGCAGCAGCAGCAACCCCAGCTGCTGGCTTCTAGTTCTGTACACCAGTTCTGGCCTCACCGGAGGCCGGCCGCGCCGGGCCGAGGCGCCTGTGCGGGTTTTGGCAGTGCCAGTACTGGCGCTTGGTTCGGAGGTGATTTCTCTCCCTCCTTCCGCGCCGGACTGTCCCCGCCCTAACTTTCATGGTGCCGCTTGTCTCCGGACCCAGTGACCCTCACTCGGAGCCGGTGCGGCGGCCGCACAGCGTTCTCCGCTGTGGGCACCAGCTGTCTGACCTGACCGAGAAGTGCGGGCCCGTCCTGGGGCTCCCTGTCCCGCAGCGGTCTCTGGTTGTGAGGTGGACCCCGGTTCCTTGGGCCACCGCCCTCAGCAGGGACTGGCTATACTGGGGAGAACGGGCGTCGGGGCCCTCCCTGTGTGCTTGGCCGGAATTTACCCCCGGCGGCAGAGCAGGAGCGAGATGCAGTGGAATGAAAGGGATCCCAGTCTCTCTGGAGCGGAAGGTGGGAGGGGCGGTGGTGAAGGGGTAAGCGGCAGACTAGCCCCTTCGGAATCTCCGGGGTGTTCACAAGATGCACTACCAAGTCCTCTTTCTCTGGGTAAGCTGACACATCTGAGTTCACCTTGACCCTTGCCCGTGAGGTGGGGAACTTCTCCTAAGTCCTGCCCTACGACGGCAGGAGTGTCCTAGTCCTTTTAAAAATATCCGGTCCTCATGGCATCCCCTGCTCACCCTGTGTCCCTGTCCCAAAGGCAAGGCAGACAGGCTGCAGGGAGGTGTGACACTCTGGTCCCTCCAGGAGACCCTCTTTTGATCCATACAGGCCACTGTGTACCGCCGGACGGGGTCTGGGGAGCCCTGGGTGGGGCGAGCGGGAGAACATTCTAGAGCCTCCCTCGGACTTGCCTCTGGGAAATGGCCCACAGGAGAGAGAAAATTCAGACCTGAAGAGATAGGGCTTATATGGTGATCAATAACTCAACAGCATTTGAACACAGGAAACCTCAAAGTCCGACCCCATCCCATCGCCTGGCCCGTTCATCCTGGGACACACGGATGGCACTGCTTATTGATTTTATTTACCTGGAGTCAGACTCCACAAGAGTGAATTATGTTCCCTAGGTATTGATTGCTAAAAGACCCCAAATTAAAAAGTCAAGGCTTTCTTAAAGCAAGGTCAAGGATTAATTATTTATAGAGAGACATCAATCAGCCAGTGTTGGGGGCTCATTTATAAATTGCTTGTGTGGGCGAGAAAGGAGCATCTTCTGACTCTGCTCCCGCTGGGAGGGGCGCCCGTCTGACCTCCTGGGTGTGGCCAGCTCCCCTGGACTGGGACCGAGGAGGTTGCCTTGTAACTCAGCCTGCCGTCGGGGACGCCTTTTTAATCTTGTAGCCAGAGTGCCACTTGGGAAATTTCAGGCATATTTGCTGTGTTTCCGTAATGAACATTTACTGATTACAGAGTATCAAGGGAATTTCATTTTTTAAACATTTATTCAAAGCTGTGTTTATGGAAGCTAATAAGTCTGGGAAACTTTTTTTTTTTTTTTTTTTTTTGCCGTATGGTTGTTGGGAACGTATGCCTGGTGGGTTCATCTCAGAGTGTACTTCCAATTTGAAAGGAGGAAAGTCAGACTCTCCTGATTGAAAACATCATGCTCTTTACTCCCCGTTCGTGCCGACATGGACCCGATAGGCTTTTTGCGGTTTTCAGATTGCAGAGATGGTCACTTAGAGCTTTTACCATCGTTTGCTGATGCATCTCTTCGGAGGCCCTGGAGGTGAGCTCTGGAGCCTTGTGGGGGCTGGCAGGGGAGGTGTGCTGCCCCATCACCTGCCCGGCCTGGCGTCGGGGACACCGGCTTCACGGCACCGGCTGTGCTTCCCTGATTTACCAGCGTGTGGCAGCCCCGGTGGGCACATATGGAGCAGGGACGGAACCTGTGGACAGGAGCATGGGCTCAAGTTCATGGCATCTCTTTAATGAACAACCTTGGCAGTGAGAGTCAGTAAACACTGGGGGAAACACGTGGCTAGCCTTTCAGCCAACCCGCAGACGATGAAGCACAAACAGGGGATGTGGCAAGCGCTGGCCCAGGGAGAGCAGTGTGGCCCTGCTGCGGGGCACCAAGAAATTAAGACGGGAAAATGGAGGATGGTTCTCTGGGTGTGTTTATGGCAGTGCTGTCCTGGAGCCCCAGGAAGTCACTGGGGAAGGTGGCCTGTGTGGGGACAGTGTGGCCAGGGTAGGCTGCCTGGCTCTGTTTGGGAGTCACAGCCAGGACTTGCTTGACTCCACAGTAGCTGTGTTCCCTCCATCCTGGGAAAAGACTGCCCAAAGGCAGAGGAGACTTCTGGGCTTGGACAGTCAAGGGCCAGAGCTGCATGAGCTTAGGTGGCAAGGGACACAGGACACACCATCTCATTCCTTCCTGGCTGGAGGATGCATGACACCACTGTTGGAACATCACTGTGGCGGAAGATGAGACTTACGAATTGGCCATGGGACAATGTTGTGACTTTCACCCCATACACACTTCCTGTCATTTGTGGTCTGGAGCTCTAGTCTGCACCCATGGCCGTAAATGCCGCCTTGGCCACCGACATCATGGGGAAGCCCACGTTCAAGTACGTTGACACCTATAAGCCACCCTGATGCCATTTCAAAAGCCACCTCGCAGGAAGCCAGAGTGTCTGTACGCAGGAGGTGAGGTGCTGCGCATGGCAGACTCGGCTGCACTCCCAGGCCAGCGACCAGGGTCTCGGCACTCCCGCTTCCCACTCTGAACGGTTGGCAGCTCAGCGCTTCATGCTGCCCACGGCTGGGGCAAGCCACCAGAGCTGGCTCTGGTAGGTGACATTTATTTTAATTAAATGGGAGTTGTCAACGCTGAAACCTGAAGCCAACGGACCCTCCGTCCCCCGCTGTCCGTGTCAGGCCCACTGCCCGCCTCCTTCGTTCTGCCATCAAGGGACACGTGTTGGGCATGTGTTTGGTGTCTGTCATTGTGCCAGGCTCTGGGGACACGAGAGGAGAGAAGCTAAGAGTGGCCCTTGCCCTTGTGGGGTTTGTAGTCTTGTGGGACGGAAAGTTCCTCATCACTCCTTTGTCGCTCATGGATGCAGGCTCTGCCAGAAACACGATCACTAAACATACAAGTGATCACGTGAGATTCAAGCTGATGACAAACACAGGAAGGGCACGGCCAGGGGAGAGTATGAGACCCACAACAGAGTGGTCTGACCTACACTGAGGGGTCAGGAGGACCTCCCTGAGGAGGTGACTCTCAGCTGAGACCTGAAGAAGCTGGAGCTAAGCAGGGAGGGGTGGGAGGAAGAGACAGAGAGAGCTTTCCTGGCACAGAATGTGAGTGAACGAGAAGGAGTGTGGAGCATGGTCCAGGAGCTGTGACTGAAAGAGGGGAGATGTGGTTGGAGACAGGCGGAGCTCTGGCCCCATAGGGCTTTGACAGTTGGCAGAGGCGGGGGTCAGGGGACCGGAGACTTGACTCTACCAGCTGCTGCAGAGGAGGGAGTCCAGTGAGGAGGGAGCTGCAGTAATCCTGGAAGAAGGTGACCGTGGCCCTAAAGAAGAAGGGGTGGACACGAATTCACCAGGGCTCGATGCTGGATCAGGTGGAGGAGGAGATGGAGCGGGTGGTTGGGGCTGTGGCTGCTGGATCAGGGCTGGGAGCTGTTAGTGCTCTGACGCAGGGCCCTCTGGACCAAGTGCCTGTCCACTCTTGTTGAGTTACGTCCTTCAGGGCTGGAAGGGGTCCAGTAGCTGCCCATGTGACCCTGCCCACCTGGCCCATCTTCCAGCTTTCCTCCAAGCCCTTGGGTCTTCTGCTGCCTTCCCCCATGTGGTCACCATTTAGCCCTGGCCCACTGTGAGCACTCAGCAAGTGATAGCCCTGCACCCTGTGCCCAGTGATCTCTCGTGAGGACAAGTTTCTCCAATGCCCACATTTCTCTTGGCCTGGGTGTCATCCACTTAGCTTTCTGGTGCCCTGGTAAGTCCTTGACCTGTCATCCACTTGTATATGGCCTGGCAACTGGCTGGCACCTGCCCTTCCCTCATTGCTGGCCTGCTCTCCTTTTCCTCTGACCTGCGGCAGTGAGTCTGCACCTGCTCCCGCCTTCTTCGAGGGGCTCTGCCCAAGGCTCAGAGCTCCCAAATGCCCTGGGATGTTGGTGTGCCCCTCTGAGGCTGTCTGTAGCTCAGCTCAGGCCCCAGCATCCCTGCAGACATCACAGGGTCCTTGCAGCTCTGTCTTCCATAGCT